CATTTTGTGGACCTGAATTCTTTACTTTTTCAGAGACCATGTGGAATATATTATAAAATATCACTCGCTGGATTTTAAAATTAAAGTTGGGAATATAGTAACACCAGTAAAAAAAACCCAAAAAGGAGTGGGATCGAAATCAGCAAAAGTGGAACAGACTGATGTGGTGGGAGACCCTCTGGGGAAGGGAGGGGGTGCACTTCCAGAGGTGAGGTGGTGGCTCCAGTATGCCTGACCCCGATCTTCACACCCTTGGTTGATACTCCGCGGTTTCCAACCCCCGTGTGGAAGGAACCTTTCTGCAGACCCCCCTTTTCTCTTTGCCATCCTCCCTTTTGTACGAGTGGGAGTGGGGGGAAGCGGCAGCACTCAATATTAACATTTCCCCCCAAAATTGTGGTCATTGTACTCATTTAAAGAGAGACAAACCATACAGAACTATGTAAAGGAGATAGCAACATTGCCGTCATTTTTAAATCTCAATGTTTATTTTTGAAATTGTTTCCCAGGAAGTTCTGAAGGTTTGACATTTCCTTTTAAAAGTTTGATCACTTTCCTTTGTTTGCACTCTCGAGCTGATGGGTAGGTAGATACTTAGGAAGAAAGAAGAAGAAAGGAAGGAGAAAGAAAGAAAGAGAAAGAAAGAGAAAGAAGGAGAGAAAGAGAAAAGGAGAAAGGAAGCAAGGAACGAGGGAAATAAGGCTTCATTTAGGTAAGGATGCATCTTTCTGTATTTTAGGAATACATTAAAAAATTGGTAAGCATTTTGCTAACCTTTCCACAGTCTGATTTTTTACTTTTATCTAGTTGAGGTTCTTTTTCTAAATTAAACTTACTGGGTGACTTTGTTGGAGAAGACAAGTTGCAAGAGTACAGTTCTATAGAACATCATCTGTATATTCCATTGTGAGCTCAACACCCAAATTTTAGTTTCCTCTGGCCCATCACTGTGTATCTGACTGGTTGAGGCCCTAATGTGGATATTCTCATACAAAATTCATGTCTTTCTTCCAGTCCTACAAGCAAGCCCTTTAAGGAGTGAATGTGTTGCTCACTCTACAGGTGTTAACTTGTGTATGTCATCTGACCTGCAGTGACTCCTCTCTGACCGAGACAGTCAGCGAATCCCACTCTGGGGAAATTAATTCTTGCTTGATGGCTCCCTTCTTATTTCCTGGAATTAAGCTCATGGCTGCACCGACGCTCATTAGCTCCCCATTTCTGCTTCGATGCTCTTTTAAACGACGTGTCTGATAAACCAGAATTATTCATTCCAACAAGCATGGAGACCCTCCCCGGTGCCAGGTGCCTTGCTGGTGCCGGAGCCGGCCTGCCTGGCAGGTGGGGACTGTTGTCCTCAGGAGGGAGAGCAAGCCATGGCGGAATGGTTTCCAATTGCCCGGGTGCTTATCCGTAGTAGCTTCGAGGGCCTCTGGAATTGCTGGGGAACACGCTTCCACGTCTTGGAGGTGCCACTGAGCACCAGAGTGGATGTGTAGCCCAATGTTGTGACTAGCTCAGCTGATAACGAGTGACGCCCACAGAGAGGCTGTGTTTCTATCCAAGAGCTACGCTCTTTGTTCTTTCTCACACACACACTCATTGATCTCACTAACTAAAGCAATTATCTTCATTTAGTGGTCTTTTCCAAAATAATTACTTCCACTCCAAAACACCACTTTTATTTGCCAAGGGCCACGGCGTTACATCCTGGCAATGGGTCAGCATGGAATGCCAAATTATGTAAACCCTTGGTTGGGTTTCCGAGTGTGTCTGGGGAGCGTGAGCTGGGGAGGGGACCCCGTCTGAAAGCAGGGAACAGCTGTCCGTACCTTCATTCATTAGTGCGGTGTTTACACTGCGATTGGGCAGGAAATCCACGTTTGCTTAAGACACCCGTCCCCAGCTGAGAAATGTCATACTGTGAAAATGCTGGATTGAGGTTTGTTGTCAAGGAAATGTAAACTGTGGACATTTCATGAAAACTCAAACATGCGGATTAATTTGCTAATAGGGAGCTAAGATTGCAGTAAGCCACACTGGCCTTATTCAAAGATTGAGATGCAATTAGTGTTGACTGTAGTAGCAGCAGCAGCTAATGAAAAGGACTATAAAACCCTAGAAAAGAATTTTATTAATAAATAGTAGAAGAACTATTTTCATAGAAAAGTCAGCCCCACCATAAGAGGAGATTATTGGTGAGTAAAATGACCTCACTTAGTAAATATTATATAAAAAGACATCACAGGGAAATACACTTGTTTGTATAGAATGTTCTGTTAAAGAACATTTTTTTTTTTTTGTAAACTTCAATGAATGCAAACACTTCTGGAGACCCACAATGAAACATGCCCACATGGCTGAGAAACGGGATCAGGACACGCCAGTCCCTTGTTTGGTCTGTCATGCATTGCTTCGTCCGTCCAAGGCACCCCTGCTGCTCTTGCTCTAGCATCGAAGTGTGTCATAAACATGATTCGCCTGGTCAAGCTAAATGGTAGCTCTCTCCTTTTCAAATCTCCCACTCAAAAGATAGTAAAGGGATAAAAGCTAAACCCACAAAGATGAAGAATGGCGGTGGAGCCTTAGCAGAGGAGAGCTGGGAGGCACGCGGAGGAGTGGTGGGTGGCCAGCGGAGTGACAGATGCCTCCGCCCATAGGGCCGCAGTGGAGAGGTGAGGGCCTTGGCCTGCAGAACCGCTGAGAGGCGGTGAAGGGAAGGCACCTGCTGCTGTAGAAGGCAGGGGAAGGGGCCAACACTCAGGAACTTCAGAGACAGGAGAACTGGAGTAGCGCCTCCTCTCCACCCTAGATGTCTGGCTTCCACCTTCCCCACCTCCTCCCACCCCAGAGCAGGCTGGAGGTCTGTTCTCTGGAGAAACTGAACTGGAATAATTTTGAAAGGGGGTTGTGAGTGACTGAAAACAGGACCTAGAGCTGCGCCTTTATGCTTGTCTCCTGCCCTGTTCCATTATGCCAGCAGCTAGGCCTGTGTACCCCCAACAAGGGATGGGAAATTGAACAGTTCTGGGAAAAAAAATGCCCAGATACTGAAATGTATGGGCCCCTCAGTGAACAGCCTGGCACCTTTTGCTTACATTACTTGAAGCTCACCATGCACACCTCCTCCATGCATATAGAGCCTCCAATCTGCTTTTAGTACTTGCTCTTAAATAGAACCAGCGGCTAAGGATCTGAGTTATATTAGGGAGGCCTCAACACGAAAGACATGGACCAAAACAAACCAGAAAAGAGAAACTTTTTAGAAGTGGAAATGGTGTAGATAGCAGGAAATGTGTGTCTTGAAAAGAGTTACAGCAGAAAGAGAGAAGCGATGTGATGTCTAACATGAGAATAGTACTCATGAAAGAGAATTAGTGATAGTGGAAATAACATTACTTGAATTAAAGAAAACACAGTTGAATATATATTTCTCCAAAAGTAGAACAAAAATTGGAGTTGAAAAGTAGATGAGATAGAAATGCAAAAAGTTTAAATTCAGTCTAATGACTAATATATTAGATACAAAGATAAAAACAAAATAAATGGTTCTCTGAACATCATCATAGAAATAATACAAGAACATTTCATAGAACTAAAGATTAGTAAGTATCTAATAGTTGTGAGGATGAAAGGATCTAAGGATAGACATACAGAAAACAAGACAAGTAAAAATAGCAGTGACTTATTAAGTCTAGAAAAGTCAAAGTTTGCCTCTGGCAAAGGTGGCCACACACCAGATAGGTGAAGGCAGTGGTTCTTGGCATTAGGACCTTTCCCAAAATAAAGAGCTCTTGAGTCTTCAGTTTTTTTTAAATGACTCTTTCCAGAGCAATATGCTACTCAATCATTTTTAGTAAGAAAAAAATAATTAAAATTGTTTTTAATCATTTACTCTCACTGTTGGACTCACAAGCAACTGATTCCTTAAAGTTTCAAATGTTTCAAACAGTATCCTATCTAATAAAGAGGGAATATGCTAATTGACTGTCACACCCTCACAAATATGGCAGTGCTCAAGCCAATAAGGAGGGAATATACTAATTGACATGCCATGCCCTCAAAGATGGCGGCGCCCAGTTCCCTCAGCCCCACTGGGGCAGCAGGCTAGTGGCATGGTTGGGCCCACCCTCAGGCAGATCCGGCCGCTCTGTGCGCCTGCCTCCGGAGTCCCCCAGTCCCCTTAGCCCCCCCAGTCGCTCAGGGCCGTCCCAAGGTTTAGGCAAGTCTCAGGTGGCAGCTGCCCAGCTGCTTAGGGCTGCCTGAGGCTCAGGTAATCAGGGCCGGCCAAGGCTTGCGCTGCCAGCAGTGGCAGCAGTAGAGGTGTGATGGGGGCATCATCTTCCCCCTGATCGCTGGGTTGCCTCCTGCCCCTGAGGGCTCCTGGACTGTGAGAGGGAGCAGGCTGGGCCGAGGGACTCCCCCACCTCCCCTCCAGTGTATGAATTTTCATGCACCGGGCCTCTAGTATCCAAATAAATAGTGATAAAGCTTTCAAAGCAGATTATGCATTGAAAGGCGGAAAGGGTTGTTTTGACAGAAAACTTAACAGTATAGGAAGAAAGGAAAGTGGTGAGCATCAGAACACTATTAATTAAGTTCATGGAAAAATACCTTGTTTTCACATGCTGGTAACTGGAATATCCCTGCTTGTTAAAATTAAATAGCATGAAGTGTGAGGAAACCAGTTAAGGGAAAGAAAGATGAAGCAACCAGAACAGCCGGTCATCTAGAAACAGAATCATGAAGCTATGCCAAAGGCTTCAGATCATTGCACCAAGTCATCTGCCCGGAGGCCAGGACTTAAGGCCGGTGTTGACAAACCCCATGGTCACGTGAGCCCAGGGGCCTCCAGAAAGTCCTGCTTGGGCAAGCATTTGGCTCTGAAAGTTTCCTTGCTGTTTAAGGCGTTCTGTTTTCTTTGAACTTTGAAGCTTCCCCACATAATCGCCATTCATTCTAACATAATGTCCTCTTTTACCCCGTCTCTCCCTGGTTAGCGGGAGCAGTGAGCCATGGAGCTGTACTTTGGTGAATACCAACACGTGCAGCAGGAATACGGTGTCCACCTGCGCCTCGCCAGCGATGAGACCAAAAAGCTGAGGAATGCCCAGCACCCTAAGGCAGGCTCCTACGGGGTCAGTATCCGGGTGCAGGGCATTGATGGCCACCCCTACATCGTCCTGAACAACACAGAGCGCTGCCTGCCGGGCACACCTTTTCCAGAGAACGGGCCATCCTTTCCACCTCCCGGGGTAAACGACCTGCCTGTGCATCCCAGCAACGGGGCCGGGCTAGAGGAGGACAGTGCCGAGGACCTGCCGTTTCCAGAAAACCCGTATGCCCCGCCCAGCTCAGGGAGACCCCCGAAGCAACCACCCTCTCTCTTTGAGGGCAGGCATGGGGCTCTGGAAGGCAAAGAGGGGCCCGGGAAGCCGTCCCAGGTGCTGAACTTCCAGAGGCACCCGGAGCTGTTGCAGCCCTACGACCCTGAGAAGCATGAACTGAACTTGCACCATCATCACCAGCCGCCTCAGGGTCAATGGCTAAAAACCCTCCCCGAAGAAGGACCCAACGGCAAGAAGGGCTGGACTTACTGCTCCAAATCCAGCCGCTCCCAGCCTGCCAGCCCTCCTCCTCTGGACGAGCTGGCCAAGCCCAACGTGACGGCCATCCGCGTGTGCAGCTCGGTGGTCATCGAGGACCCCAAGAAGCAGACCTCGGTGTGCGTGAACGTGCAGAGCTGCGCCAAGCAGGGGCCTTCGGAGGCGGAGGAGGCCCCCTTGCCGGGCGGGAGGCCCCTCCCTGCCTTGGGCCCGCACCCCCATGCCTCCTCCGAAGCCAAGAAAACCAGGCCCGACGTGCTCCCCTTCCGGCGCCAAGATTCTGCAGGTGCCGTCCTGGAGGGAGCCCGCTCCTCCCGGCGGTCCTCCTCCTCCGCCTCCACGACGCCCACCTCGGCCAGCTCCCTGTACCGCTTCCTGCTGGACGACCAGGAGGGTGCGCTGCACGCCGACCACGTGAACCGCCACGAAAACCGGAGGTACATCCCCTTCTTGCCAGGCACGGGGCGGGATATCGACACAGGATCGATGCCCTGCGTGGACCAGCTGATCGAGAAGTTTGACCAGAGGCCCGGGCTGCAGAGGAGGGGGCGGCCCGGGAGGCGCAGCAGGATCCACCCGGAGGACAGGAAGCGGTCCCGCAGCGTGGACAGCGCCTTCCCCTTCGGCCTGCAGGGGAGCTCCGAGTACCTGTCCGAGTTCAGCAGGAACCTGGGCAAGTCCAGCGAGCACCTCCTGCGGCCCTCGCAGGTGTGCCCGCAGCGGCCGCAGGCCCCCGGGCACCGCGGGAAGCAGGGTGCAGGGCACCACCCAGCCCCCGCCCAGCCGCAGGGGGCCCTCCCCAGGCCGTCCCAGCACAGCGGAGAGGGGAGAGCTCTGGAAAGCAAAGGCGGTGGTCAGGAAAGTGCAACAGCAACGCGTGCATCCTCCCTCCCGGCACAGAAAAAGGAGGAGGAGATCAAAACGGCCACGGCCACGCTGATGTTACAGAACCGCGGGCGGGCGGCTTCGCCTGACTCAGGTGCCAAGAAGGTTTCTGTGAAGACATTTGCTTCCGCCTCAAATACCCAGGTAATACTGGGGTGTCTCCCCCCCCCCCCCCCCTTCCTAATTCCTGCAGTCTCAGTCTCATGCTATGGGAGGTTATAGCAATATATACCTGCATCTGATTGCACATAGTTTTTTTGTTTGTTTGTTTGTTTTGTTTTTGAAGATTTTCTATTGATTTTTTTAGAGAGAGAAAGGGAGAGGGAGAGAGAGAGAAACATCGATGTGACAGGAAACCTGGCCACGTGCTCTATCTGGAAATCGGACAGGCAACCTTTGAGTGCAGTCAACTGAGCCACACGGGCCATGGCACACATGGATTTTTAAAAAAGTTTTTCCTAAATATATGTCCTACTGCTGATGGTATGGCTTTCTAAATTAATCCAAGTACAGTTAGATTTCCACAGGGTCTAGTTTATAAAAGTAATTTGTCAAGCACCCTAGAGAGGCCCGACTTTACTTTTTGTATAGATGTGCCATCGGGGAGCATGCGGAATGTGTTTCCACACTGAGGTTCGGGGCTCAGGTTTGTGTAGATGTGTTAATGACCCTCATGAACTCGAGTGATGGCTAATGTCTGGCCTGAGAAAGTAGGTTAATCCTAATTTAAGCTTAACCCTAGAGATGGATTTTTAAAAAATATATATATTTTATTGATTTTTTTACAGAGAGGAAGGGAGAGAGATAGAGAGAAACATCAACCAGCTGCCTCTTGGACACCCTCTACCGGGGATGTGCCCGCAACCAATGTACATGCCCTTGTCCGGAATCCAACCAGGGACCTTTCAGTCCGCAGACCAACGCTCTACCACTGAGCCAAACAGGCTTCGGCGAGATGAATTTATTTAAGTGGTACATTTAGTGTTTTGCGAGACCCAATAAAAACATCAATGCTGATGATTAAAAGGATAATAAGGTTAGTAAGTGTCAGGCACCTTTTGTTACATGTTAGAGGATGGGCACCAACCCTGTGAAGATCGGTCCTATTAACCTCAATTGCCAGGTGAGAAAATGGAGGTGAGGACTGAAGTAGCTTGCTCCAGGTAACAGAGCTACTAACCACGTGGTAGCGCCCGTTGTAATGAGGATCCTTACCCGAGGAGTCACTTTTGGGATGTGTTTGGGAGGAGCTCCTGTGACGGGTTTCGCCTCCTGCCTGGAAACACCGTCTCCAGTCTCCAGCGATCTTACACCGCCCTCTGTTCCAGGCCACGCCGGACCTGTTAAAAGGCCAGCAGGAGCTCACCCAGCAAACCAACGAGGAGACGGCCAAGCAGATCCTCTACAATTACCTCAAGGAAGGGTCAGTGCTTTTCCTTAAAGGAGCAGAGTATTGTCATTTCTGGGGGGCTCTTCACTTCCTTTTCTGAGACCTTGTGCTCTGCCCTCCCTCGCCGCCCTGTGTGAGCCACGGGGGGGTTAAGATCCAGTGACCGGAGTTCTCACAACAGCATTTAAATCTTGGGTGGGGGAGAGTGAAGAGCAGGTGAGAGGAGTACAGGGAATGATAATGTACTTTAAAAATTAAAAGTGAATGTATTTTAAAAAATGACTCTACTGAATTTGTTGTTAAAAACAAAAGATAGGAAGGATGTCTGTTGTCCAGTCTTGAACCTTAGTTCCAATCACCCCTTATTAGAAGTTACAAATAAAAACACCTCCTTCCCTCCCCAGAGTTGACATTGGCCAGGAGCCCTTGCTTCCAGCATTTTGAAAGCACATATGAGTCACTTAACAGCAGTGCTTGCCACACACTTATCTTGGAAGTTGAGTGTGCATAATCTGGTTTCAGTCCTTACTGAGATACTGAGGGCGCTGGAATTCTAGGTCAGGAATTCCAGGTTCCTGTTTCAGTTCTCTCATCTGATGTGATTAAAAAGAGAAAAAGCGTTACAGTCTGACATGACTGGAAGTCACGTGGCAAATACTCACTGGTATCAAAACACTGTGTGTTTTTTGTGTTGAGCCTTACAATTATTTGTCAGTAATAGTAGACCTGACAGAGTGGTCAGGTTCAAACTATAAGATAAGGGCTCTTTTGGAAATAAAAAAACAACAGTAACCAAAGAGATACTTTTATTCTTCTAGCTGAGAACTAGTTACCCGTGTTTCCCCGAAAATAAGACATCCTCCGAAAATAAGACCTAGCGCATGGAAAGATAAGACAGCCCCTGAAAATAAGACCTAGTGCAACTTTGGGAGAAAAAATTAATATAAGACACTGTCTTATTTTCGGGGAAACAGGGTATTAGTGCCTCTCTGAGAAGGGTTTTCCCATGTTACGGTTAAAGTGGAAGAACTTGGATTTTTAAAATTCTCTAAATTCTTCTTATTTATTTTTTTTGATTCATGATTTGAAACAGACTTTAATGGGAGGCACCTATTTAAGAAAACTTATTAAAAAACTATTTCCTGCCCCCCCTCCCCCAATTGTTAGGTATGTGTGATAGAAGATGCGATTGAGGTTATTAAGACTTTAACCAATCATTACCTGTCAAAGTCTAGACAGAGGGCTGCTGTATTGACAGTCTGGGCTTGGGGATTTGTTTTTTTAGACATAGGCTAACCAAGTTCAGATCACTGCAGATCATTCTAAAGCATAACATTTAAAAGCAAAAATGTATGTGTGTGTGAGACCCACACCGAGGGGAAATCCCTGTTGGAATGAATATAATTCGTTTGAATCAAACAGCAAATTACTACATTTTCACTGGATGTGTTCTCCAAGCTTATTTAGAATGTTGCTATGTCTCTTTCACGTTTGAAAGTTGGAACCTCTGTCTCAAATTGAGTGGTAACATAGGACATTTTATTTGATGAAAAAATACACCATCCACCCTGCTCTTTCAACACTGGTTTTGTTAAAATAAAATAAAATAAAAAAAAAATAATAATAAATTAAAAAAAAATATGCCTCTTGCAATTTGTCTTCTTAAAGGGGTTGTCTGTGTGTCAGGGCCCATAAAATATTCTGGGACCAGTGGTTGCTCCTCACTCTGGTTTTTCCTTTGCCTCTTTTCCAGAAGCACCGATAATGATGATGCCACTAAAAGGAAAGTCAACCTGGTCTTTGAGAAAATCCAGACTTTAAAGTCTCGAGCAGCGGGGAGTACACAAGGAAATCACCAAGTAAGCTGAAGTTTTGTATCTTGCAGAGGGCACTTAACATGGGTTGTGGCAGACAAGTTGCTGTTTGTTCAGTCTGTACAATTGGTTATGACACCGAATGGGAAGTTTCCTGAGATTTTACATGTTATAAATTTATACTCTGCCTCTCTTTTTCAGAAAGGTTTTTAAGATATTTTATTAAAAAAAATAATAGGATGAAACAAATTTAGAAAGAGGAAATAAGAATAGAAAGAACTAAGCAAATTAATGGATAGATTTCATAGGCAGATTTGGAAGGTTGATGTGAACTGGCTTGGCCCTAAACTTTGGAACTTCAGAGAGTAAGAAATAAGAGAATAAGAACAAAAAACCAGGGACTTAGAGACAGGTGAAGCCAACCAGCATTGGTGGAAGGGAAAGGAAGGGGTGGAGTGATGCCACACTCTTTTAAAAAACTGTCTGTTTAACGGATGGTACTGAATTCGAGTTGGGACTTGGAGTTGCTTTTGTTAAAAAAGGATTCGTCTCATAATTGATGAACATCTGCTGTATGTCGCATACACCGTGTATCTTGAAAGGAAGTGGCATTTAAGGGAGACTACTGATCACTTGTTCCTCCTTCCTACACCACCGTGTGTTGGGACCCATTTCTTGCTTGTGCATCTTTACTTTTTCCTCCCAGGGGAATTCTGTAAAGGCAGGAAAGAGAGGATACCCAGAGGCAGGTAACAGGAAGTTTGTCTATAGCTTCTTTTCAATGTTGAAAAAATGGACATTTTTAGGCATCAACTACTACCCTTTTCTCTACTGCTCAGTGTTCCCCTAGCACTCAGCTAATCCATGACTGCTGCTCTCCATCAAATAGAGATATGCATGCATATGTGTATGTATGTGTGTATGTATATATATACACACATACATATACACATGTATATGTACATACATACATACATACATACACATAAACATACACACATACACACAGGGGTAGGCAAAAGTCAGTTTACAGTTGTTTGTATAAAACAAATAATAATAATATAAGAATAAACTGTTATATATTTACAACTATAAAACCACTTTTGCCCACCCCTGTTTATAACATTTATTATAATACAAATATATTAACTGTTCCCACTGGGGAATTTTTAGATTATACACTTTGCTTCAAGAGTGCTACATAGTTCTTAAAATTAGCTTAGGATTTTTTTGCTAAAAGTCTTACATCTAAATTATCACTCTGACTCTTGCTTTCATTTATCTGAATATACATGGGGGACTCGATCCTTTGGTCTTTTTTTTATTTTTTTATATTTTAAACATGCTTTGGTCTTGATGTTAAGATTGTCATTGTGGTTCACAGACTAGGGGTATCAGGGAAGCCTTTCTGGAGTCACGAACACTAATGGTGTGTCAGAAGATTATAGAATTCTCTGAAAGAAGGGGAGGCAGGGCGTGGTAGGTAGAGGGGATGGCACAGGCAAATACAAAATGTAGAGGCGTGTACTAGCTATGGTGAGGGGATGGAGGGGATGTGTAGCTGGAGCAGAGAGCACATGGGGATGAAGCACCAGGTAGGAAAGACCTCAGAAATCGCATGAGAAGTTTCCATTTCAGACTGAAGGTGATGGGCCACCACTGATGGGCTTTAAGCAGGAATGAATAGTGCCATATTCCTAAGAATTCATTCCCGTGGTTGCTTTCTGAAAGAGGTGAGATCAGAGGAGGGGAGACCAGTTAAGAAGCACTGGGAATCAAGTGCGAGGTGGCGAGAAGGTGAACTGAGGCCCTTAGACTTCTGGCTGTGATCACAGTGCCCTGACGGCTTAATTGCCCATGTTTTCCTGCTCCCTCGACCTCCCTCTTATTTTCTGAATCTGATTATTCTCTGGCAAAGGCCATTTAAGTGATTTTCTGTGAGGGAATGTGGACTGCGACCACATTGGGAAATGGCAGCAAAGCAGGCAGGCGTTCTGTTTGGGAAGGAGCGTGTGCAAGTTTCCTCGTGGATCAGGTTCAGACTCCTAAAATGGATTGTTCTCATTTTGTCTGAGAGAATTGGGAGTCCTGTGTTTTTGTTGGCTGGGGGCTCTGGTTCACTTCACAGGGGAAAGTGAGGAAATGCCTCATCCAGGTTCATCAGGCACAACTCACACCTGGATTCAGATGCATGAGGGCCAAGTCACTACCTTTTCCAGCTTTGATTCCTGCTTTTATCCCCTTCCCTGCCATGTAGTTTTCTAACCACTCTGCTCTAGCTTTTTAGCCAAATTCTTTTGAGAACATCATCCTATTATTACATCCATGGAAGAAAAGAACGATATCCATTAGTGTTCATACTCAGTCAGGGATGCTTCCTAGTAGACTCTGTTTAATCAGATCCCTCTTCATTCTGTCTCTCTCCATTATGGAAATGTGACATCTAAAAGAAGACAGCCAATTTAGCCAGCATATAGTTATTTACTGCTTGCATCCAGGCATATACAGAGTGAGGGATAAAAATATCATTGCTGGTTATGGAGCAATAATTCCCAATCTAATGTAAAGTTTGTAATAGATTTTTATACAGAGTATCTTGGGAACATGACATGGGCTTTGGGTATTACTTTATGCAATAGGTGAATCTTCACAAAAACTTATTTTTATCTTCTTATATTATTTTATTGGGTATAACTTATAGTTAATTGCACAAATCTTAACTGCATAGTTCAAATGCAAGCACCACCCAGATCAAGATACAGGGCATGCCCGTCACCCAGAAGGTTTACTTGAGTCCTGTAGGGATCTACATTGGAATCTTTAAGATTTTATTTTATTTTTTAAAATATATTTTATTGATTTTTTACAGAGAGGAAGGGAGAGAGAGAGCTAGAAATGTCGATGAGAGAGAAACATCGACCAGCTGCCTCTTGCACACCCCCTACCGGGGATGTACCCGCAACCATGGTACATGCCCTTGACTGGAATCGAACATGGGACCTTTCAGTCCGCTGACCGACGCTCTACCACTGAGCCAAATCAGTTTCAGTGGAATCTTTAAGATTTTAGAATCATTGCTCTGATTATATTTTGAGGGAAAGAGAATTAAAATAAAAAATCACCTTGAACATTTCAATGCATTTGTCTTTGCAATTAACTGTAGGCTTCTAACTCTTCATCTGAAGTCAAAGATCTGTTGGAACAGAAAACCAAGTTGACCACAGAAGTGGCTGAACTTCAGAGACAGCTTCAACTGGAAGTCAAGGTATCTGATTTTTCCTTAGTTATTTATTTATTTTTATTTCCTTCTTGATTGGCAAAGAATATTTTAAGTATCTTGGATGCCCAAGCGAATTGAAAGCCAATATCCTCCCCCCCCCAAAAGAAACATTCCTCTCATCACAGAAGTAAATTTCTATATATTTGGCTCCAACTGACCAAAGAACTTAAAAAACGACAACAGCAACAACAACAAACAACCCAAAGCATATAGAGACTATTTGCTTTGACAGAGTAAAAGAAACACTGTTGGTTTCAGTCAGGCCAATAGGAAACTAAGTGCTTATAAACTATTGGCACTCAAAAAAAAAAAAAATATTGGCACTGAGTAATTGAAATAGTACAATGAAGTTGAGCTGTGTTTGTTTCTCTTTTAAAAGTATTAAATTCATTAAATATGTAATATTGCTTCTAGTTACTCACAACGATGCCTTAATTAAATAGTCTGATTAATAAATCATGATATCACTAATAATTAATACTGTTAAGTAAAAAGACGTGGAGTCCACCAGAGCTTAGGAGGATGTCTGGTAGAGTTTCAGCGTAACATAAACGTATGGCAGAGGTCCTCTAAGATCACATGCATTCCTATTAGAATCAACAGAACATCAGAGAAGAGAGAGAGAGGATGAAAGCCAACTTAGAAGAGCTCCAGAGCCAACACGACCACCAGGAGAAAGAGAACTCGGTGCTGCAGCGGCGGCTGGAAGAGAGTGAGGGGGAGCTCCGGAAAAGCCTGGAGGAGTAAGTCCTGGGCCTCGGCCTGTCCTTCCTGGCTCTTCGTCTGATGTGGCCAGAACCTTTTTGTCCGTTTAGTACTACCCGGTCTTCCAAATATTTACAGCGGCTGCTCCCTCTTCCTTTTCTCCCTGGTGAGCAGATAGGTTGACAACTTTAAAATTATTCGTACACCTTAAAGGATGTCTTGCACAGGTTCAGCCCTTAGGGTGGCTCTGTAGGTAAGTGAGAAGCAGGGAACGCGGAGTGGTGATATCTAAGGACTGAGATGTCAAGGGTCCTGGGCCCAGTCTCCAAAGAGCATGTCGTCACCAGACCTCCATTTTCTCCCGGTTTGTGGATTCTATCCTGGGTGGTGCTGGACTGTGTGCCCTGGGCTAATATTTCTGTTGCGTCTGCAGAGATGGAAAGTCAAGCCCGAGGGCCCTGTCATTGTGGCCGTGCTTTTAAATCTGTGCACAAGAGATCTGAAATTAAGGTCGGAAAGGGTGCAGTGCTAAGAAGCCCTGTGAACGTGATGGAAACTTTAAGGGAAGGTTAGAGCAGGAGTGAAATCTGGAGGGAAATTTGAGAAAAATAAGACATTATGTAGTAAAAGCCTTTAATTGCCTTGGCAATTTTGATGGTGTAGTTGTTGCTTTTAAAACATTCTTAGAGGTTAATTTTAGAAAAGAAGTTGGTAAGAAAACAATCAGAAAGTCTAGGGGATAGTAAAGACTTTACAGAATAACAAGGTAGAAACGTTGTGAATTTGATTTAGAGCAGAGGTTGGCAAACTTTTGTCAAATAGTAAATACTTTATAGTTTATGGGCCATATGGTCTTTGTTGGAACCACTCAATTCTGCCATTGTATTGTGCAAATGGCTGTAAGCAATACATAAAAGAATGAGCATGGCTGTATGCCAATAAAACTTTATTTACAAAAATGGGCAGTGGGCCAGATTGGCCCCTAGGTCATAATTTGTGGACTCTTCTGGTCTACAGTCCTGGGGGCCGGGGAGGAGGTAGAGTGGGAGGCTGCTTGGGGCTTTCGATGACTCTGCTTGACCCTCTGGAGGGCTGCAGTCAGATGGGATGAATGTCAGCAGAGCCCGAGGTCTGACTGAGGGACTCCTTTCTGTCAGGCTGTTTCAGGTAAAGATGGAACGGGAACAGCACCAGACAGAGATCAGGGATCTCCAAGACCAGCTCTCGGAAATGCATGACGAACTGGACAGCGCCAAACGATCCGAGGACAGGGAGAAGGGGGCTCTGATTGAGGTAAGGGGCCTGTGGGGTCAGGTGACAAGAGAGGCCCCATCTGCCTGAAGAGGGTGAGATGGGGACTGAGTACCATCCTGAGCCGTACTCTGTTTTGTGTGTTTACTACACCTGTGCCTGTGGTGAGATTCTGTCAGAGCATCATATGTAATAATTTTTAAACATCGCCTTAGGAAAACTTCCAGCCTACAGGAAAGTAGACAGAGTACTGCAGTAACTTCCACAGAGCTCCAACCCAGATCCAACAGTTGCCAATACTTTGTGATATTAACTCCACTTATTCATCTGTCTATCCATTCATTCTTCTATTTTTTTTTCCATACATCCAGTTACCCATCTTTGCTGAACTATTTCAAAGCAAATTATAGATAACACAGTGCCTCATGCCTAAATTCTCAAGCATACATCTTTGAAAATGATGGAATTTTCTTACAACCACAGTACTATTATAACACCTAAAAAATTTAGTAATTCCTATAATGTATATATAACATAACAAGAATTCTAATACCTGGGCCCTCATTCAAAATTTTCCACTTGTCCTCCAGGTATATTTTATGGTTGTAATCCCCCCACCTCCCAGCCAGGACCCAATCAAGAATCCCGCCTTGCTTTCACTGTTTTCATTTATCCAGGATAGCACCCTGCCCCCTCATTCCCTATGGCCTGCTTTTCTCCTCCCATCCCATCCATCTTCTGATGAGATTAGTCCGATGCCCCTCTGATTTGTGTGATTATTTCCTTATGGTGTCCATTATGGTGTCCCAGTGTCCCCTGTATTCTAGCAAATCAGTATTTAGATCTCTACACTAATAGATTTAGATTAAACTTTGGGCAAACATACGTTGTAAGTAATGCTATTTAATGGGAAGCATTGAAAATATATTAATGCCCATACAATGCAGGTTAAGTTTTTGTTTAAGGCCCCACAAGACTGTAAGCTCCGGGAGGGCAGGGTTGGTGATGGCTGGCTCAGCATTTTATCCCAGTGCTTGGGACATACAGCAATCAATAAATATTTGGGGGTTGGTTGGATGGATCAATTATGAGTTAGAAAGTGGATGGATGAATGAGCAAATGAATGAATCTGTTTGCTGGGACAGAGGCTGCCCATCTGGCCTCTGCCCCCTTTTTAAATATTTAGCTCTTACCAATCAGTGAGCAAGTGGATAAAATCAACTGCCTAGTATTTGTTAATTATTATGAGATTTTACAAAGACAATTATTATTTTCCCCCCTGAATTGGATTACCATCTTGTTGAGGTGTAGAAACACATAAAAGTAATTAGAGAGCAAGAATAGGTTTTAAACATCTACATCTACCTTTTTTTGGGGGGGAAATGAATCTAATTGAGAGTCACAAACATGTACAAGTGCCATTTAGGTATTTTGATACTTGCTATAACATAATCATCTACATTTTTGGCATAGTTTTGAAATTTATTTCCATAATAATCTTTGTTTTGTAGGAACAGTTAAAAAAAAAACCAAACAACACAATTTAGAACAAAGCAAAAAAAAAAAAAAAAAAAAAAAGAAATTAGAAAGTTGCCTTGTTGGTACTGAGTTTTTATTTTCTATTGCTTTCCCCCTGAGGGCTGAGTCTTTCTTTGACTGTTTCTTAGGGTTGAAAAGCTGCTGGCTCTTTAAGTTTCTTAAGTCTCCTCTGTCAATTGTTTTCTCCCTCTTCCTTGTTTGGTTTTGAAGTAATTCCCCGGAAGGATTTTAGGTCCTGCCCTTTAGAAGTAAGCCTCCCTCTTCCCCAGGACTTGGCAGCGCTGAGCACCCTGACCACACCGCACAGGGTTCTCATGAATGCGTTTTTCACGTGGTTACAGCTGGGAGTCATTTCCCTTCTCCACACACGACCATCTCTCTCTCTCTCTGTTTACACCTTTTCTCCTGAGAAGGTGTTAGTCTTCTTTCCTATCACCTGGTATTTCTCTTTCTATCCAAGGTTTTCTTAAAAAATCACCATATTCATGGTATTATACGGCTAATCATGGCCCTTTTTCTCAGGGCTCCGAGTTACAAAGACAAGGGTATTAGCATGCAGCTTTGAGAACTTGTGAATTTATCACTGAAATATTATTAAAAGCACAAAATGAAATTTTAAAGTGGGGGTGGGTGGGTTGGTGTAAAAACACTTATTTTCCTAACATCTTAACGACGATTTTTATTTCTACGTTTTCTGTGTGCCTCCCTACCCGTTGGTGGGTTTTATCCATCTGCCTACACTGTGGGGACAGTTTTAGTGCCCCTACTGTTTTGGTATCTGCTCTTAAAGGTCAATGTCAGAAACATTTTCCCTTGTTATACCTTATAGTCTTTATATTTCATTTTTAAGGAGATAACCACAATGTATTTAATTATTCTCCTATGCTTGTATTATTTCTTTTTTTTTTTTAATTATGAGAAAATATGGTGAACATTTTTTTTACATGTATCCTTATACTTTTTGAAAAAATATCCTAAGGATAATTTCCCAGAAATGATGTCATTGTACAGTTTCTGGCTTTCAATAAAAATGTAGCTTCGAAAACAAATTTAAATAGAGGGCAAGACTTTGCCTTATTTCATGATTCCTTGTGTGGACCCTTGACTGATTTGAAAAGGGAAAGATGTTATCTTAGCTATAGGGAAGTCCCTTAAGTTGCTGAATTTTCCTAGTAACTGAAACCTATAATTGTTATTTTCCCTTTTTTATAATACCCTCTATCCTTTTAAATTCTTTATTTTAGCACATTTGACCTTGTCCTATTTTTGTATCTATCTCTTTCTCTTAGACAGCTAAGTCAATACCATTTCATTTTTGCATCTCCCCCCATTTCATGCCAAGCAACAGAGCAAATGAATAAAGTGTTTTCAGTATCAGAATTATTTTTAAAATGTTACCATTTTAGCCTCGCCAGCGTGGTTCAGTGGTTGAATGTTGATCGATGAAGGTTCAATTCCCGGTCAGGGCATATGCCCGGGTTGTGGGCTCGATCCCAGTATGGGGTGTGCAGGAGGCAGCCAATCAATGATTCTCATCATTGATGTTTCTATCTCTCTCCCCCTCTCCCTTCCTCTCTAATATCAATAAAAACATTTTTAAAAATGTTACCATTTAAAAAAAGGAATCTTTTTGAAATAAGCCATCTGCTTCCTTGCCTCTTTATCAAGGAATATGATTGAATTAACTAAATAGCTTACCTGTGAGTCTGCAGTGGTAACTAGGGGGAGGCCATGCGCCTCAGTGTGGGTGACGTGTTTTCAGGAAGGGCCGACAATGAGAGAACAGGAAAGGGAAACAGCACATCTCTTAAAAATGTTCCTGACGTCGCTGGCTTTCTGGTTGCGTCTTTCCTGTGATGGGAGATATATCCTCCACGGCAGCCCTTCTGCACAATTAGTGAGGGCACAGTTGGCTTCTGAACGCCAAAGGGGGGCTCTTTCCCCTGGAAAACCATCCTCACTGTTTTAAATGAGTTTCCTTGGACTTGCCAGTGACATTTTAAAAGAATGATCACAAAATAGACCCCATCTCCTTGTCACTTTCAGTATCTTCTTCATCTCTTAATCAGAAGTGGCCTGGGGAATCTGACAACAGATTACAGTCGGGGCCAAGTTTCCCATGGCATTTGGCTTAGAACAGACTCTTAAGCACCATGAACATGAAACACATTGTGGTATTGGGTGTTTGAACGAGGCCGAGGGCCTTGTATTTCCTGAGATGCCCAGTGCACCAAGAACTTGCATGAAATCTCTTCTAATACGGCTTTCCATTTTGTTCAGTAACACTGGGTCTCGATGTGGAACCAGTGAAATAACATTAAGGAAGAATACAGTAGCTATTAGTTTTTTTTAAAAGGAAGAAAGAAAGAGAGGAAAATAATCCTGTTTTCTCTGGATAAGCCTTACAGTGGGCCAACAATAGGATGACTTTTTTTTTTTTTTTACTTTTTTATTCTTAAACTACTGATAGTTTTGAAATTTTGTTTTTAACTCAAGTTACAAAACAATGATCATAGAACAAATTTTCAGCCACTTCTTTGTCCAAAAAATGTGTTTTCCTCCATTCTGGGGGAAATGGGTACACATGCGCCATCTTTCCGAGTGCCAGGGCAGTGGAATTTTCTAATTACTGACCATCATCTTTGATGGGAGCCGGCGGTGCTGACAGCTGGGCCTCCCTCCAGCAGCCGCGTGTTTCATTCCCGGCCTTTGCCAACACGCAATCCTTTACGTACCAGTAAAATGTGCTGGTTATGAAATTGTATTGATCTGGGGATAGACTGTTCTCAGAAATATTACTGAACATTATAGGAATTTTAATAAAACAACTGAAAAAAATTCATGTTTCTCACTAACCCTGTTACATTTTATAGGCCTATCGTTCTGGAAAAAATTGCATAATTTTCTGTCAGCTACAGTCTTGATAGAAAACCATTTACTCACCCTTTAATTGAACATGGGCCAGAGATAGGGATCTTATAGAACCTTTGAGAAGCTTTTATGTAGAAGAGGTTTTTTTTTTTTTTTTTTAATATAGGTCAGTACTTCTCTCATTTTGACATGGGATCCCTATGAATGTGGTGTGTGAGATAGAGCCTGCCGAGGGCAAGTAAGTTGCTGCATTGGGCATTCTGGTATGTGTGTTTTCGTGCACCTGTGGTCAGGACAGCCAGTCCCAGAGCAAACTTCCTTTTTGTCTCAATTTTCATTCCTTCTTGTCTTTTTGGAAGTGCATGTTTCTTTGCTTTAGTTTGGAAATGTTTAGCACAAGTCTTATCCTATATAATAAAAGGCTAATATGCAAATCAACTGAATGGTGGAATAACTGGTCACTATGACGTACACTGATGGCCAGGGGGCAGGCACTCAACAAAGGTGGTCAGTGCGCTCCCACGGGGGGGAACGCCGCTCAGTTAGAAGCCAGCCTCTCCCACCTCCGCAGCAGCGCTAAGCGTGTCCGACTACTGGCTTAGGCCCTCTCCCCCAAGTGCATGAATTTTGTGCACTGGGCCTCTAGTTATGAAATAAGTACTGCACACAGCCAACTTTCACAGCCTACTGCACTTGCACACACACATATCTATGTCTGGTTTTCATCTCCTGGCTGCTTTGCTGTGTACACCTGACCTAGGTTTAGAATGCACTGATTCTGAGTGGCCACTGTCTTCCCTTGTTTTCTTTGGTTGGAGTCCGTAGAGAGGCATATTCAGTTGTAATGGGTATTGATTTATGTTTTGAAGTTTACATCTTATCTCTCCATTCTTTGGCTTGGTAGAATTGTCAGTCAAGCCACTGAAGCGATGAAGTGATGTTTTTGGAATCTCCTGTGCTCTTTGGTCTCTGCCCTGGAAAACGTCAAGTGCTCTAAGTGTCTTGGTGAGGTGTAATCTGACTGGCTTCGTGCAGCACAGTCCACTTCAGCAGCAACCAGGTGCAAATAGCAGCGTAGACCATGAAGCCAGGTTCTTGGCGTGCATTGGCGGCAGGGCACAAAAGGCAACTCAAAAACACAGATACATCCTGGAAAAGATAAGTGTGGGAAGAGGAACTGCCTTATCTCGAAAACAATTGAGAAACGTGTGAGAGTGAGAGCAGGAAACAGGGGTTAGATTCACAGGAGCTAGGGTGCAGAGGCTGGCGGAAGGCTCCAGGAAGACCGGAGCCAACAGCAACAGTGATGACGGGGTCTCTGCTGCTCCCTGAGGGGGGGTGGACAATGGCAGCAGCAGGACTTGCCCTTTGATAAATGTCAGGACCAGGACGGCTTATATTTTCATAAGATTTGCTTCTGCTCTGTGTTGGGTGCTTTGGAAGAGCCAGTGTTACCTTAGCTCTGGATGAATCTCTTGATGTTTCATCTGAGCTTATCAGTGCCTATAGCTAGATTCCTGAAGGGCTACATCTTGCTCTGTGCAATGCAGCTCTACCCTGAGACTTGGCGAGTTAGCCAAGGTGTGCGCCGTTGGCAGAGGATGTAGGGTTTCAGAGCAGCAGGAAGCAAACGCAAAGGGGTTCCCCTTGGCAGAGGTTCCCTTGGTTCAATGGATATACATGTCCTAAAGAAAAGGAAAGAGATTCCATCGGCAGTATTTTTCCTCCTCATCAGTGACACTTCTTGAATGGAAAGTAGCTTTTCTCTGAAGTCTCAGGTCCCCAGTACCAACCATTCTGGTATCTCTAGACTCCGGCTGTACTGTATATGTTTTTTTGTTTTGTTTTGTTTTTAAATATCCAGAACAAACACATTCTTGATATCATTGATCCATGTATCTAAGATATAGTAAATCAGTTGCTGAATGTCTAAGAGGAGATAAGAAAATAAATATGTGGACCGCAAAGTAAAAGTGTTAAGTGCTGTGGTAAGTACAGCCAAAGTGAGATGGATATTCAGGGAGGGCACTGCAGGAAGACTTCTTGGAGGAGGTCAATATTGTATGAGTCTTCAGAGATTTTTCTGAAAGGCAGAGGGAGGTGGGACTGAGAGGGGCATTTCACAAAGAGGAAGCCTTGTGGCTAATGTCATGGAGGCCACAGGTGAGAGACTGGATGTGGGGAGCAGTTGGGTGGCTATTGCAAACCACCTGGGTAGGAGGCAATGAGAGTCTAAATCAGGGAGGTGAGGGGAAGGATCAAAGATATTACAGAACTATTTATGAGGGACAAGGATGAGGTTGGTCAGGTTGCTCCAAGCTTCTAAGCAGGTGGTGCCTTCATAAGAATAATGAGCAAAGGAAATGGAAAGGAAGGAATATGATAAAAAAACACAAACCTATTGAATCTCAGGTGCCCTTGGGATAATCTAGCAGGTTAATAAAAGTACAGATCTGAATTTAGATTAAGAATTGGAGGTAAAGCTTTGGGAGGTATTTACATAGACTTAATAGTTGGAGAAAAGTAGATGAACTTGCCAAAAAGAAAGAAGAAAAAGAAAAAGAAAAAGAAAAAAAATGCATTCTTGGGGATCATCTTAGCTTTGGGGAAGAGGGAGAGAATAGCCAGAAAAGATTGTCACAGAAAAAATGACCCGAGGGAAGAAAACAGGAGAGTACAGTGTCTTTGAATTGCAAGGCATGCGAAATTTTAAGGAGACAGGTGTGGAGGATCAAAGAAGGACAAGAAAAGTGAGGACTGAGAGGGGGCCATTGGATGTGGTGATGAAGAGGTCCCTAGGACCTTGTGGGGCAGTCTGAGTAGAGTAGGAACAAAAGCCATAAAAAAGCCATAGCAAGAGATTAAGGAGTGATCAGTAGCAGGTGGTCAAGAAGTAGAGGCAGTGAACAGAAATTATACTTTTAAAAAGTTTGGTGGTAGCCCTGGCTGGTGTGGCTCAGTTGGTTGAAGTGGTGTCCCATACCCTGAGAGGTCATGGTTCAATTCCCCATCAGGACACATGCCCAGGTTGCTGGTTCAGTCTTTGTCAGGGTGCATGCAGAAGGCAACTGATCGGTTTCACTCTCTCATGGATGTTTCTCTCTCTCTCTCTCTCTCTCTCTCTCTCTCTCTCTCTCTCTCTCTCTCTCTCTCTCCTTCCCCTCTGCTCATGCTCCCCCTCCAACTCCTCCTCCTCTCCCCCTCCTTCACCCTCTCTTCCCTTCCTCTCCCTCTCCATTCTCTTTCTAAAATTAAAAGAAGAAAAAAAATATTTGGTGTAAAAAACTTTTACATTTTTGTTTTCCTTTCTTTGCCCTTGACTCAGAAGATTCTTGTGCCCTGAGGGAAAGGACCTAGATGCCCAGAAACAGAAAGGAACAAAATGATGGTGGGGGTGGGGAGGGACAGCTGATAGAGTAAGGACTTGGAGCCGGCTAGCAAGGGCCAGCTCACTGTGAAGGGCTTTGTGTTGGGGAGAAGCTTGAAGTTCAAGAACTGGGGCGAGTGGAAGGTGAGGTGGTCATGCCGAAGCCCCGCTGTGGCTGAAGGAAGGTAGCCTGCAGGAGGGGGTGGGTTCTGAGCTCGAGGAGAGCTGAGCAGGTCTGGGGTGAAGATGGCAATGCAGAAGGAATGGCTGCTGAGCTTTTGGCAGGACACACTGGGGTGTCGGTAATGCGATTTGTAGTGGAACTTGTTGTCCCAGTTTGGTGACTCCTGAAGGAACCCTGAGCAGCTTAGAGCAACGTGAGTCCTTTGCCCTGCTCAGGGGGAAGGAGACTGGGGCAGGACTGGGATCGTGGGTTAAGGGTTCCAGTGGGGTGTGAAGTCCGTGAGGGCAGCAAGCCATTAGCAAGGGCCACGGACCATGGCCCAGACATGAAGTGAGGTGGAAAAGTAAGACATGTTCCCTCCAAGCAATGACAATGAAGTCCGTTTCCCTCTGTGCCTCAAATCTCAAGAAAGCTGGGCTTTCATCAAATCAGGGGGAATGATGGCCTCTGAGGAGTGGAAGGAAGTGGGGAGGAGAGCCAGTCATGTGCGGTGTGAGGAAGGGGCGTGGGGAGGGACAGTGGGATGGTGGCCGCTCCTCTGAGTGGCTGAGCTGGAGGAGAGAAGCTGGACATAGTGGCTCATCCTCACCTCCTGTCCACATTTCCTCTCTTCAGGAGCTCTTACAGGCAAAGCAGGACCTTCAAGACCTGCTCATCGCCAAAGAGGAGCAGGAGGACCTCCTGAGGAAGCGGGAGCGGGAGCTCACCGCCCTGAAGGGAGCCCTGAAAGAAGAGGTTTCCAGTCACGACCAGGAGATGGAGAAGCTGAAGGAGCAGTACGACGCCGAGTTGCAGGCCCTGAGGGAGAGCGTGGAGGAGGCCACCCAGGTGAGGCCGCCCCGCTGGCGGGTCAGCCGCAGTGGGTGTCGGGATGGGCAGGAAAAGGTGGCTTGGGAACAGATAACAGGGCACAAGGTCTCCCAGCCCAATGCCAAGGGTCTTGCTTCCTATTTGTTACAGAGTGAACTTTCATCCTGGAAATAGAGCTTACTCCCAGAGTAAGGTCAGCAGTGCTGCTGTTGACTACGTTAAGGCTATAAACTTAAACGTTTTTGAGGTCATTGTTTCAGCACTGTTGCACTCGGTGAGACTTGTGTGGTACAGTTCTGGAGCCCCCTGCAGAGCAGAGATCTGCACCCTCTCGCTGTGCCTGGAGGGTGGTTTTGTGAATGGCACAACATGGCAGGAAACACCCAGGTTTCTGGAATCCCTCACCCTGCCCTCGCCTGTGCCTCTGGCTGGGAAGCTTTTTGTTAGACGCTCGGTTCTTTTCTCAGCACAGTTGTGAGAGGGTTAATTGACTGAATTGCCCAGAACCCTGGCGAGATAATTTTTCTCCTAATTGAATTCTTGGCTCCTATAAATAGATATTCCTAAATTATGTTGAAGTCTGCTGGTGGGGGCCTCATGTTGGCTGTTGAAGAAGAGAAAAAGCAAAGTTTTGAAGGGGAAAATGCTCTGAAATAACATGCCATCTTTAGGGAATGAGGGGAATTACTGAGTATGGCTTCGTTTAGAGTCCCTGCAATGCATAGGTCAGAGATGATGAAGAAAGAACTCCCCATACGGTGTGTGCATTGTGTGATGGTCACAGTGACAGCTCAGAGCTGGTCGGCCCTCCCTCAGTAAGCCCCATAGTGACTCACTGATGTTCAGTTATGGCAGGGTAATCGCTAATGACAAGAAGTGAAAGATGGGTTTGTTTGTTATAACAATAAGAGTCTGGGAAAGAGCTGAGACCGGTTTGGCTCAATGGATAGAGTGTTGGCTTGGGGACTGAAGGGTCCCTGGTTCGATTCCGGTCAAGGGCGTGTACCTTGGTTGCGGGCATATCCCCAGTAGGGGGTGTGCAAGAGGCAGCTGATCGATGACTCTCTCTCATCGATGTTTCTAACTCTCTATCTCTCTCCCTTCCTCTCTGTACAAAATCAATAAAATATATTAAAAAAAAAAAAAAAGTCTGGGAAAGAGTCTGTTGGAGGTTATTATAACAGGCAGTTACCAGAAAAGCAGCCTCTTGTTTGATTTGCCTGTCTTAGATTCATTGGAGATACGGTTCAGTTTGAGGGAGAAAAGCAAAACTGATGGAGTTTTCATTGCTTTGAGGTGGAGTTTATTTTTTCCACCTCATTTTGCTTATGTGCCAATCCTGGCCTCCTTGCCAGCGGCCTTCATGTGCTGCTTCCCGGGGGACACGCACACAGGCTACTGAATCAAGTGACTCTCCTTTGCGCCTATCATGTCTGTGTCATCTTCAGACATTGCATCAAAGCTTGAGTTATCAAGGTGTGTTCATCACAGGGCCGGGAGCTGGCATTGAGGCAGGGATTTCACTGTGAGGAAAATTAAACTGGCACCACACCTGGGTCTCTCCCAGACATTATAAACTGCAATAAGGTCAGCAGTTTCAACAGGGAAACATGGCAGGTGAAAGAGGGTGTCTTTTTTTGTATGGAGCTGAGATAATCTGTAGAGACTCAGGCTATCACATTTTGACCTTTCTGAAGGTCACAGTGTTCACTGCACTTGAATTATGCCAGTTAAAGAGGGGTAACTGAACTGACCTGCATCAGTCTGTGAGATAAACAACAGGCGAGTTAGCCAAGGTATGTGCCGTTGGCAGAGGATGTAGGGTTTCAGAGCAGCAGGAAATGAACCCAAAGGGGTTCCCCTTAGCATCCAGTGGGTTGCGTGCCAGCAAGGTTCTTTGCCCCAAGTCATATTCTGCACTGCTGCCAGCGTCCTTCCCTAAAGAAACAAATCCGGTTATGTTCAGCCTCTGCTTTACACTGCTCTGGCTCCCATGGCCCCAGCCTTTAGTTCAACCTTGTGAGCATGGTAGGCAATAGAAGTCCCTTCTCTTCTTAACCCCGTCTCCAGAAAGTTCCATATTCTTTTGTCCTCTCACCTTCCACGTTTCAACTTGAGCAACCTCTACTCATCCTTCCAGACCCTCCCCAAATGTCCTCTCTTCTCTGAAGGTGCAGTCAGGTACACCTTCCTCAGGATTTCTGTTGCGTCCTGGCTATTCCTTTACCATGAATTATTAGTTTGTATCATACCATGTTGTAATTTATCATCTTGTCTGCTGCCTCTGTGAGACTCTTAGTTTCTTAAGCACAGGGGCCTTTTAAAATTTATTTATTAAATCCTCACTTGAGTATACTCTATTTTTCCCATTGATTTTTAGAGAGAGTAGAAGGGAAGAAAGGGAAGGGAGAGAGAGAAAGAGAGAGAGAGTGAAACATCAATGTGAGAGAGACTCATTGACTGATTGCCTCCCATACTCACCCCAACAACCCAGGTTCGTGCCCTTGACTGGGAATCGAACCTGTGACTCTGCAGTGCAAGGGACAGTACTCTAGCCGCTGAGAACACCAGCCAGGGCACAGGGGCCATTTTTTATCCACTTCCCCCCCCTTAGATTAGAAGTGGCAAATTCAAGTGCTTCAGCATCCAGAGAGGGACATAAATGAGTGAAGCTCTGGGATTGCTGTTGGGGTGACAGTAGGGCACCGTGGGGACTGTGGTAGGCTGGAAAGTGTGTCCTTTGCTGTGGAGTCAGTCACTTCTCTCTTACAGTTCAGAGTTGCCAGTGAAAGAATGTGGGGCCCATGTTGCTAGATCTCGCAATTTTTAAAGAGAAGCTGGATAGCTGGATGTTGATGTGAGATCTCCTGACTTTTAAGCGGGGCTTCACATTAAAAAATAAACAACAACAACAAAAAAGGTCACATAAAACACACACACACACACACACACACACACACAAACAACAACAAACAAACAAAACAAAAAAAACACACACCAAAAAACAAAAAAAAACCCAACAACAAAAACAAAGAAACAACCCATCTGGCAGGTGGACAGCATGTGCTCTTGTCTCTGGAGCTTAGCACAGTGCCCTGCCTGTGGGCGCATCTGTGCAGCATCTGACGAGTGAAAGTAAGTGGAGCACAGATTCCCCTGTAACGGGGTGTGGGGCTGGTTGTGGCTCCTGCTGAATTCTCTCCGAGGATGATGTGGGAGGACTTCTAGGAAATCTGCTATTGCTCTGAGATTTTCTGTGCCTGCTTTTGACTGTCCCTGTGGTTTTTCTTAAGGAGAACTATGATTATGTTTTTATACTTTAGTTTTTGCTTCTGAGGGTGGTTGCTGATCAACTGTGCCCAAAGCATATTTAGTGGAAAAAGTTATGTTAATTTAGTGGACAGATGCTGCCTTTTTGTTACATTATTGACATGCGAGTATTCTGCAACGGAATTTTAAGATTATTCTATTAACTCCTTGGCGGAGAGTGAATTAAATATACTTTGTTAACTTGGCCAAGAGTTAGTTCTCAAATCTGCACCAGCGTTACCCTTTTCCGTCCCTGGGGAAGTACCTGCCCACTCACCACTGACGAAAAGCCAACCCTGCCTTGCAAAGTGTATTTCCTTGGTCGTCCGTTTTTCTAATTTTGCAGCTGCTCCAGGGCCTAAAACCCCAAAAGTGCTATTTTATTATCGTCAGATAACAAACATTTCATCCTGGCCTGAGCTTGAGCACTAAAAGTTTTAAATTGCTACAGCAGGTGGTGAAGACTGTCAAAGTCTATTAAGAACATTTCACAGGGATTCCAAGCAGGTCCTGTGTAAACATGGCTCTTGTAGACCCGATGGCCTCCCCTTTTTAAGAACAGACTGACGGCTCACCAGAGAAGTCCTGAGAGCCCGGGCTGTGGGCTTCCAGAGTGAGTGGACTCGCCGCAGGTGGGGTGGGGTGCTCCTCAGGGGGCCACTCCCATCCCTTCCCAAGGAGGCGTGGCAGCGGCTGGAGCCCACATGCAGAGATGGACAGTCAGTGGGGATGTGAGTGACTGCGGACTGCGAGTACAGTGAAGGCTGTCCATAGCTGTTGGCTTCTCTTTTTCACCCCCTTCACCCCCACCCCCCCAATCCAGTCTCAAACTCTTGTACCAAAGAGAAGCACATACTGTTTAGTGTTGTCAGGTTTCTCTGATTAGGATAACTTCAAATTCCAGCTGCTCCAGGAATCTCCCTGGTTCCCTCTTGGGCCTTATAATTGCTGGACCTGGAATTGCTGGGAATTTTGTTCTTGGTTTTCTCTTCCCTGTCATAGTAAGTACTGTCATCATTCCCCCCCCCCCCCCCCCCAAAGCATCCCCAATGTGCTTGACACTGAATAGGTGCTTGGAAAATGCTTGTGGATTAGAGGAAGGACACCTTAAGACCCCCACAATCCCAAGGCCAGGCATTAGACTGTTTTGGGGGTCTCACTTAAAATTGCTTCTCAGGAAAATGAACAAATCTTGTCTATTGGGATCATGATGTTAATGTTGATCTTGGAAGGACTACTTTGTGTCTAAAAGAAGCAGGTATTTTGAGGATGATAAATGAAAAGGCCACTCTATTTCTGGTAATATGACTTCCGGGCCATGAGGCACTCTCAGAGCGCCTGCCAAACAGCAGCTAAGCAACAAATATCTCTTCAGTGACTGGATGAAGGGGAAGAGGAGGTAGGATGTGTGAGAGACACATTTACCAACTTACTTACTGAACACTTGCCAAGTGCATAGTATTGTGCTAAGACACATGAGGGTTAGGAAGAGAAATCAGAATAGTCTGCCTCCCAGGAGACAAGGGGAGATCGGCAACCCTCGAGCTCGTTACAGAGGGGGAAAGAGCAGCTGCCCCGAGTGCGGGGAGTGCGGAGCGGGTGGCCGTGCTCAGGAAGGAGGTGGTGGCAGCCAAGAAGGTTTCCTGGAGGGGCAGGGCTGGGTAGGGCTGAGAAAGGTGAGTGGACCTGTGAACATGGACGCTGAGGAC